CATACATACATACATACACACACACACACACATATATATATATATGAACAACACTAATTTTTAATGGTTATTAATTAAGTTCACTGAAGTCAATATTTTGTTTTTTCATTCTTTATTACTGTCATTGTTAGCCATTGTAAGCCATACATACACACATAGACAAAGTGTATATATTGCATATATAAAAGCTTTTTCTAACATATATAGAAATACACACACACACACACACACACATATTCTAGAAAAAAAAATTGATTTCCAACTTTCTTCTATAACTTTTTTCTTGTTCTTTTATTTTTAAACAGGGACAACCCATCAGAAAGATTAGGTAACTTGAAAAATGGAGTCAAGGATATTCAAAAGCACAAGTAGGTATATTTCAGAAAAAAAGTAATCCTCTGTTTAAATCCATCAATACATTTAGGTATATTTTTGCACAGACGAAAAACTGAGAGTACCACAATCCAATAGGTGCAATTTTTTTCACCAGAAACTTGAGTAATATAAGACAGCTATGCAGAATGCATCTGCTTATATTCTAAGTAGAGTGCTATCGTAACTCCGAATCTGGATGTGCTAACTATTTATGCAGCATTAAAGATTTTGCAATGAAAATAAATGAAAACATCTTCAAGTGGTCAATTAGAATCACATTCAATAACTCACATTCAAGTAACATAATGATGTATAATACAATAAATTTAACATAACGTAACAACATAATACATGAAATTGCTTCAGAAGCCCATCAGCAATTCCTGTTCAACATAATACAACATAAACAGGAGACAGGTTAAATGTAAATAAGCTTACAGATATCAAAAAAATCAGATCTTCTAAAGATATTTATTAGCTTTTTTTATTTTTTACATGTTTGAAGGAGACGGATAGCCAGTATCAATATCTATCAAGATAGATACTTCTATCCATCTGTGTCAGCATCTGGGAATGTCATATCATTTACCTGACTTATTCTTTTTTTTTTTTTTTCATCACAAATTAGACATCTGCAGTTTGGACAGAGCCTTGACTCAGAATTTTCTCTAACTGAGGAAAATCTTGGTACCATCCTAACTGCCCACAATTAGGATAAAACAAAATGTTTCTCAAATCTCCCCTTCCCCCAGAGGGGGCATTCAGCAGGTTCTGACCAGTTCTGGAGAACCGGTAGCGGAAATTTTGAGTAGTTCAGAGAATCAGCAAATACCACCTCTGACTGGCCCCACCCCCATCTATTCTCTGCCTCCCAAGTCCCAACTGATTGGCTGGGTCTTCTTTTGTTGCCCTGCACAGGAAAACAGAGCTGGAAAGCAGGTTAGTGGGGTGGGGACGGAATGGAGATTTTGCAGTAACCTTCCCCTGCCACACCCACCAAGCCACACCACACCACACCCACCAACCCACACCCACAGAATGGGTAATAAAAAAAATTGAATCCCACCACTGCCTCCCCTCAAGTATTAAGTAAGAGGGTTTCAGAAATGTAATTTTTGTAATGTTTAATGCTAGGCTAATGTTTAATGCTAATGTTTAATGCTAGGTTTTGCTGCAATGGTAGTATAAATGTCCTTGTATTATTTTATCTTCTGACTTCAGGTGGTTTGAAGGCTTTAACTGGGAAGGTTTAAGAAAAGGTACATTGACGCCTCCTATTATACCAAGTGTGAGTATAGCTTTATTACTTGTTAAAATGTATATATTGGAATCATAACTTAAGAAAGTGGTTGAATAAACTCATTGGGAAAAAAACAAGCAGGAGCTCTGAAGCAAAACATGGAAATGTGTTCTTATCTTACATTAACATTCCCATATATCCAGACCTCTGCTTGACTTCATTTTCAGATACATAGTAAGGGTATATCTGAAGACTTCTTTTGACAATGAATCAGTGATGAAGCTTATACAAGAGTTTAGGTTGTAATGTATCTTAATGAAATCTTTACCTCTTTTACTACCAAAAGCTTCTTTGTTCTTCTTCCAACTTACATTGCTCAGTTCTCCTTTTCATTTCTTCTATCACACCATCAGTTTCTAAATGTGGTATTAGATCACATGCTGTTGTACTCAATTGACAATTTGACATAGTTTTTCCAATTTGGCATAAGTAAGTAAGATGCTGCCTTTCTTGTTCAAAGTAAAGGACTTTCTAGTTTGACTTGACTTGAAGCTTACAAGTCACACACCAACAGTTGCTTTAATTTCCATGCAGAGCCATGTTAATGCTAACAGTAAATATTGGTATCAATATTGATTATAGAGCCCTAAAATACTATTGAAAGAAAAAAAAAAAAGGAAATACCTATTCTTAACTTTGGCTTAAGTCTTTTCCCTTTGTTTCCACTAAATTTGTAAAAAAAAAAAAGTGAAGATCAAGTGACATTGTTAAATATGGATTATATACATGGATTTAAGGACATCTATTTCTATATCAAACATAACTCTTTTTAGAAGAAAAAAGTCACAGTTTGAGACAAACACTGAAACACTGAAACATATTCCTCTTAGGCAGAGGTCTCCAAACCTGGCAACTTTAAGACTTGTGGACTTCAAGGCCCAGAATTCTCCAGCCAGCTATGTTGGCTGGAGAATTCTGGGAGTTGGTCCACAAGTCTTAAAGTTGCCAAGTCTGGAGACCCCTGCTCTTAGGTAAATAGAGAAGACAGCCCTCTTTTAATTGTGGTCTGTTGAAACTATTATTATGGGAGTGGTGGACATGCTAATTAAACTTGGGCTAAATTGTGGTGGTGATTAATGTGATTGCTTTTCTTTCAATACACATTACTTTGCTACAACTTATTATGCTTAGTTTAGTTTTCTACATATTATTTGAATTTTACCACTTATGAAATAAATACTTCCTGTCAGAGTTGAATGTATACCCATAGTGAATGCAATTTAAAATACTTGACTTTTCTGATTTATTTTCACACATTCACTGTGAAATTCATGAATTCCTTTATCCTGTAGATAGAAAAGTACATAATAGATAGGAATCTGTAAATTATGTATAACCCCCACCCCCAATAATAAATTAACTTATTCAAAAATAACTAATTATGTTTGAATGAATGTACATTTCAATCTATTTAGGAATCAGGAAGGTCATTTTTCTGAAAACAGTAAGTTTCCTTCTGTCATTCAGTCTATTATGGTGACCTGCAAGCAATGACAATTTGCAGAATCAGCACAAGATTTAATTTATTTTGGAGGAGAGAGAATACTTGTGTTGTCTTTATTATATTGGCTTTTAATCATTAAACAGATACTTCACTACTGATGCTAATATGAAAAAATAATGGGAGACATATAAATACAGATACTACTGGGAAACTCTTATCCTATCATATTACTTATGCCTTGTTAATTTTTAATACTTTGAGTTCACTTTTCTAAAATATAAAATATATTTTATATGTATTATTTTAAGTTTAAATAAACCAGTCTCAACTTATTGTAATTTGTTAGATTCCTTTATGTCTTTCATGTTCTTGCAGACAGATTTCTCCCAAGTCAAATGATAATACAAAAGCAGTTGATATTTTTATAGTGAACCCACCATATTTAATTCAATAAATATGGGATCATACAGGGTCAAGTTAAATGGAAAACATCAGCAATTTGTTTTCCCACTTTCTAAACTTTTTTAACATATCTGTCATACGTGGCATAAAAAACACAGACCTTTTAGATGCGGACAAAGGCAGCAATTTCTTTCTCCTCTGTCATTGCTTGTATGCATTTTCTAAACAGCTCTATGGCAATTCTGTTTTTCACCGGTAACCTGCCATGCATCTGCATTAAATCCCAGCTTTGTAGAGCAGTTCAAAGGGCTGTCAATATCATTAAGAAAACTTTACATTATTTTGTCAAACTCTCCATTCTAGTTAGGAAAAACTAGGAAGCCAAACCCATTCATATGGAGGTTGCTTCAAAATTCCTTTCAAAATGTATAATCGCCCTTCCTTGTTCATAAAAATGTATGGGGTGTCCATTCTACTCTTTCATCTTTTCCCATAACTTTTTTCACTATTTTTGTTCTGAACAATGCACTTTACACCCTTTTTCTTTAACTTCTTTACTTCTTCTTTTACCCCTTCAGGTGTCGAGGGACTAGAAACATCCTCCTAGCCATGATATTCCCATTCACAGAATATTTTTAACAGTACTACATGGAACAATATTATGAATGAAAATGGCAGAATCAGTGGTGGTATTCTACTGGTTCGGCCCGGTTCTGCCGAGCCGGTAGCGCTGCTGAGCAGCGGACACCGAACCAGTTTTCTCCTCTGCTCTGCTATTGGGCCCGCCCACATGTCCAGCTCCCGTACTTACCTTTATCCCCTGCTTTTGAAGCGCAGCTGCTTTGCGCAGAACAGCAGAGTGCCACACGGTAACTGCTGAAGCAACCGGGAGAGTGCAGGCTTGCAGGAGGTGAGTTGGAACGCCTCTGCGCCTGCACAAACGCCTCTGCGCTTATGCAAAGTGTGCATTTGGTGCATGCGCGCACACAAAGTGTGTGCACATGCGCAAAGCGCGCCCACCAAGCCACACCCACCGAACCAGTGGTAAAAAAATTTGAATCCTACCACTGGGCAGAATCCTACATTTCTGAACTGTCTCTAACTTTTACTAGCCAGCATGAATTCGCTAGGGGTATAAAGAGCTCGCGGTTTGAAATCAGAAAATTGTCTAGAGATTCCAAATGCAGCAACTAACACTACCAATAGTTTTTATTTCCTTCATTGGATAGGTTGCATCTCCAACTGATACAAGCAATTTTGATAGCTTCCCTGAGGACAACGATGAACCACCACCTGATGACAACTCAGGATGGGACATAGACTTCTAATGTTTTTCTCTTACCTGCTTCTGCCTTGCTGAAGACAGCTTCCTGAGACATGGCTGCCAGCAGACCTGAAAGATTTAGGAAGGATTCATGCTCGGGGTCACCATGATGCCTTGATTGATGCTGCTACAGTAATTACAGTGGCATTAGGACTTCTTGTTTAGATGACAATAGTGCTCTTCACATGTTTTCTGTTTGAATTTAACACAGCAGTTGACATGGTGGTCCTGAAGCAAAATAATTATTCACCAATAATTTACACGTGTTTTCTATCATGGTACTGAACATGCTATGCCTCCATTACAATTTGAACGTTCATAGAGTAAGATGCACATAATTCTAGCGGTTAAGTTCATTTTCTTTATTGCTAAATATATTCCAAGCTGTTTTAAGTACTGTAGCCGATTCTAGGTTTGTAGAATCTATGGTACAGTAACTGGGGTATTCCCCTCAAACTGCAGGTTGAGTGCATTGAGCCTCTTAAAGAAGGCCAATGTGTTAAACTAAGGAGGAAAAAAATGGAGCTCATGTCAGAGCAACGCTATAATTTGTCTTTCTTTTCAAGCAGTGTACAAGACAAGAATGAATGTTACCTTCCTCCATTTTTAGTTCCGATACGTTTTTCTTCCCAACTGATAACAGAAGCACAACTGCTACACTTCCTGTTAAACTGTTAAACAAGTGTGGGTCAGTCAATCCTCACATCATATGTCTGAGAACTTACTTTTTATCATTTCTTTTGTGGATTACAGATACATAAGGGCATGTGGAAAAAAATGTTCATAAAACTATTCGTTTTATGTATATACCATAACTATCTTGTAAAAGAAAAAAGAAGAATGCTTATTCAGAGGTCCTAAAAACAAAATATTAACCAAGTGTAAATATTAGAGCCTTTACAATTACTCTAAAATAACAATCACATTGAGAGCCCCCTGAAATTGCAAAATCCACTGCATTATTATATAGGTGCTATGTACATCTTTCATCTGTGAAAGAAAACAAACTTCCACACTCATTTTTCAGGAAAAAAAAAAGATGTAGCAAGAAATTTCACTGTCAGTTAGAACTGTATGAGTGGACGTATTCCTATACACACTCATATGTGGATAATACACACACACACGCGCATGTTTTTAATACTACTGTGCTGTACTGCCTTCACTTTGTTTTCTATTTTTCCAGATCCCACAAATATTTTATTTATTTTCCCAAAAGATAATTAGTCAATCTTTTCTTGTAAAATATAACTCTTACAGATCTGTTTACAAACATGGAACAATGTAATTGAAATGGGATGCTTCAATATGCCCTTCCCTTCAAAAGGAAGATTAAATTCACCTTTAAATATGTCCTGTTGAAGTCGACAAGTCTTTAAATGGGTCCATCTAAATGATGAATTACATCTACCAGTTATGAATCTTTTAATGGTCAGTGCTATAGACTAATTTGTCCGTACTTGTTATCCGAATTCAACATGTTCAGAGGACAGAAATGTCAAAAAGGCTATTATAGATAACAATTTTCAAGGCAATTCCAGCAAAGACTTCCATGTGTCAGTATGACTTCATTAGCATTTGTCAATACGCTGCTGAAGTAGTCTTGCATCTGTGACAGTTTCTTAAATTAGTTCCACAAAAAGAAAACCAACAACCACATTTACAGAATGTCCATTTCCTTTGGAATTTTCTCCAGAGTTTAATGACTTGCTCTTTTCTCTGAATCCAGAAATAAATTTACACCTCTAGTTTTGTGTTCATGCATTAATTTAATTTAATTATCTTTTCCCCTGTTGCCTAATACCATTCTGTTTATTTGCCCTATTCAACATTTGAAGTTGTCCTATTAATGAGGACCGGATTCAGATTAAGTTATTACCATATAGCCTATAATGCTATTACATTTTACTGGAAATAAATTCCATTGAACTTAATGATGGTCACATCCGATTAGACATGCGCAAGGACATATTTTTCTTTTCCTCTGAAATGTATGAAATATGGATCATGACTAGCTTGTACTATCATTTTCGATGATACCAAAATTTAGTTATTGTAGTTATTTTACAATGCAGTACAGCATGTGCTTATACAGAAGTAAGACCTACTTTGTTCAACAGAACTTATTCTGAAATAGGTATCTATAGGATTGTTATCTTAGTCTGGACCTAATCCAGTTTGCATAACTTAGAATTTCCCTGTCACTGGACAGGGTTATAAAATGAACTTGAAATGAAACACTGGCTGTTGCATACATTGCATTGGTTTAGTATTTTATATAAAATGGTCAGTTAGTTTTCCTCATAATTGATGCTTGGAGATTAGCACCAAAACATCCAAAAATGAAGCTCATTGGCTACTTCCAATTATCCCCAAGTTCTTGATTCAGTCATTTCAGTGAAAACCTCCCTAATACATTAGAAGACAATATATGAGTTTGAAGGATTTAAAAAAAAACAAAACAAAAAAAAAACAAATCTCTTTATAATATTCTCACATATTTCATACAACTTGTGGCTTCTTTTTAAGATATTTAGTTTTTGGGGGGAGGGGAAATATTGTTTGTCTGTTCCTAGTGATGGCTTCCACCAAAAATAATAATAAAGAACCAGCATCAACCAGGACTGGTACACTATAATAAAACAGTCCTGGAAATAGCACTCTGCTTCCAATAAACATAGGATCAGGGATAGGAATCCTTGATGTGGCATTTAACATCCAATCACACGTACATCAATCAGCCTTACTAAAATGGTTCAAGCTTCCAAACTTTAGTAAAGGTAAAACTTTTTTATTGAGCTTAGTTAGTGGGAAGAGCAAGTGATAGACCACTGTAATTTTCTGGGATATATATATATATATATATATATTCCCTGTCTAAAGCATAACCTGGTATTTAAACTTTACAATATTGTAAGATAGCAAATCATAACCTTTCCTCATACATACACTGGAAGAAATATTGTTGGCCATCCTTGCAGAAACGGAATGACAGAGTTTTCATAAGCAGTGAGCAAAATACGTATGTAATGTTAAGGCACAAGTCAAGCGGAGATTAGAAAGCATGATGATGAGAATAACTCGAATAAGTTAGAATCATATCTGGCTGCTTAGGGAGGCTCAGGCTGTACAATCTTGAAGAGCAGAAGTAATCTTCAATCTTGCCAGTCCAAATTGCAATTTAGTCTATAGAAAAAAAAGGGCACAGGGGTTTTTTTTTCTTGTTAAAATTAACCAGACATTTTCACCTCTTCTCATATCCATTAAACTTAGATATATTTGCTTGAAGGTACACAAAAGCATAAACGTCCAGGACTCACTTTCAGAATTTTCTATTGTCAGTTTCGTCAGATAATTTTTCACATTCATAAGGGTGCCTATAGCTTGAGTGAAATATTCCAGAAAGAAACACAGCGCCATAGCTTAAGTTAATCTAACTTCAGTTTTCCAGAAGGACTCCGAGCTTCATTTATATCTAATCTATTTAATTATAGTCAGTTTCGTGTTTTTTTTTTTTACAAATACACATCGGTGAGCGAATATCAGAACACTGCACCACTTGTTAATCACTTCTGCTGCTCGTTAGTCCTACAAAATTAATTGTATATAACAAGTCTAATCAAAACACACAATTTAGAATATAAATAATGCTGGAATCAGAATGTGGTCATAGGGCTAAAAGATTTCCATAGTCATTTTGGTCAGGTTTTCTTGTTTCTACATTACACCTGGGATCATTAGACAAAAAACTCTCTGCACTTCACCTCTAAACAAGTGATGTGCCTACCCAGAATCAATTAAAATCTAAAATGTACTAATTTCAACTCTTAGATTTTTCTTATAAACTATATATAGTGGTCTCCAATCTAAACAGTTGCAGGGCTATTAGGTCGTCCTCAAGCACTCAGCTGACAAGTAGTCACGAGTTTCAGCTGACAAGTAGTCACGAGTTTTAAAAAATATTTATGCAAGAAAAGTTGCCGAATGAGCGTGGTATGAATTATGCTTGATTCCTTCCATTTTGTCCTTGAACTGCACTCAATAATATATAATTGGTGTGGTGTGCACTTAATATAAATTTATTTTGTCATATGGCTCACTTGCATCTTCTTTACCAAATGTATTTTCAATAACTTAAACTAGCATATGTATAATAGCAAACCCTGCATTTATAAGTAATATATTTTATTTACATATATATAAATATAGATATATATACATGTTTATGTTACAACGTACTGTCTTAGTCCACATGTTACTCCTTCCATGCAGATCACACCAAAAATGGCCTCCCATAGTGAGTTTTCCATCCCCAGCAATAAGATTAAGTGCTACTCAACATGTAAATTAGGGCAATAATGTTGCAGGTTTCTTGGTTTTGCTGAACTTAACAGGTGAAATGGAAATGCTAATCATACATTACAGCTGGGAATGGTAAACTTGTCATGGCCAAATTACAGGCTTGGCCTGGCTCAAGTAGTATGTGGACAACTTATTATTTATGGCTATAGTCCTTCGATAAACTTACTCACAAGTAAGACCCATTGATTTGATACATTTTGTTCCCTGATAATGCATTTGAAATTAAGACCTTGCTTTTCCACAATAAAAGGTTCAATGGCGTATCTGCATAAAAATGAGTTTGCTAACAAATTCAAGACACACTGATTTAGAACTAAGTTCTAAAGGTACACAGTTGAACTGTAGCTCAATACAATTCTCCATAGGGAAATATTTAATGATAGGACCACAGGCAAATATTTATGTAAATAGATATTTTTTCGTGTTGATATTTTATGGTATACATATAGCTTTTTCTTTAGACCATTGCATTATTTTCATTTTTCTTATTTGTAAGGTAATGTTTTTAGATCAACGTGGACTTGAATTAATGTCATAATTGTCAGTATTACTGAAGTTTATGTCAACTGTACTGTTGTCCATTTGTCCCATAGTTTAGAACATCATCTAGTTATTTGGCATTGTTGCAAGTGCCTTAAATTCATGGCATCCTATTAAAAAAAATACAAATTTGGTGTTATGCTGCATGACCAAGACAAACACACCTCAAAATGTTGTCCTTTCTTAGCTTGCTGCGTTTTACAGTTCTTTCGGCTAAACAGTTTATAAGCCTTTACTATATAATATTGATGAATTACAGAAATGATGACGTCGTTCTCTTATTTCTGTTATAAATGTACCAGAGCTGTGTATCTGTTAATGAGATACAGCATCATTTCTGTGAAATGTATAAATGTACGTGCAGGTCAAATTAATATATGACATACTATCAGTCTGTATACAGGCATTCCTGTTTTGCTAAGGTGTGCAAATTTTAAAACAGTAGTGCGGTAAAACTTCAGACATGCCACATTTTGTAATAGATTCCATAGTAAAAATAAAAAAAAATTTAAAAAATAATATTCCAATTGGGCAGATTAGGCATAAAATTGACATCGTAGCAAAAACGGGGGAGGGGTGGGGAAAGGAAAGAAAAATCCCTCTGATTGGAAAAAAAATCATTGACTGAAAAAAATAAAATAAAAAGGAATGAATCTTGTTGCACCACTGAACAAAACAGGGCCCGTTTTTTCTCTGGGTTGGTTCCAGACCTAGTTACCTTTAGAGTAAACCCATTCCCATCAATGGGACTTACAGAAGTTGTATCTTCCATTGTTAATGGTATACGCAAAGCTGGCTTAAATCTGAAAGCAACCCTATGATTTCATGTATATGCAAACTGTTTCTGAGACACCTTCTCAGTAGTATATCTAGAAAGTGATACACTGAAAGCCTCGTCCTCTTCTCTGTGAACAGTCCGCTCCAAGCCCTGGGACTTTTGACGTTTCAGGCTTTCATTGCAAAGGGAAATTTGATTCAGAGTTGCCTAACTAATGTACTTAATTCCAATGTATGATGTTTTTACACACGGTGGTTTCCTTTATAATCCTGATGGCTCTTTTTCTTCTCCGTAAGGATTCTACATGAATGAGGAGGAGTTAAGTTTTGTTTGTCCAAGAATACACTTTCATCAAGTGGTCTTTGACCAGTTGCACTCTTTTGATGTAGACTGAAAAAAAACAAAAAACCTTTTTATCATGAAGTTAACTGCTTTTGTTTTGCTCTGTATTTTCCCTGCAGCTGTAATTGCCGAGTGCCTGTTGTATACTTTATAGAGTTGAAATAAAAAAAAATTTACTTTTGAACGGTGTCGTCCATATGTCATATTTGAGGGGAATTGGCTCCATGACAGGTAGTCCTCAACTTAGTAAACATTCGAAGCAGAGGTGGTATTCAGCAGGTTCTGACCAGTTCTGGAAATTTTGAGTAGTTCGGAGAACCAGCAAATATCACCTCTGACTGGATATTTTACAGTATCCTTCCCCTGCCACATCCACCAAGCCATGCCCATAGAACCGGTAGTAAAAAAATTTGAATCCCACTACTGATCTGAAGTTAAACGGCACTGGAAAAAAGTGACTTACGACCATTTTTCACACTTATGACCATTGCAGCATCCTCAAGGTCACTTGATTTACATTCGGATGCTTGACAACTGACTCACAATTATGACGGTTTCAATATCCTGGGGTCATGTGATCCCCTTTTGCGACCTGACAAGCAAAGACAATGGACCAACCAGATTCACTTAACAATGGTGTTGATAATTTAACAGTTGCAGTCATTTGCTTAACAAATGTGGCAAGAACAGTCATAAAATGGGGCAAAAGTCAGTTAACAAATTTCTCACTTAGCAACATAAATTTTGGACTCCATTATGACGGTAAGTTGAGGTCCACCTGTACTTATTTTGTTTTTTGAACTCTGGTCTCTGCCAGAAGTGATCTACAGAAGTCTAGATAACTAGATGAACATTATTATTTTTTCTTGTTGGAGCTTCCTTCACATTTAGATAATCAGATTATTCTATACAGATTGGATTATTCCATATTCAGAATTTTTATGAGTTTGTAGCTTTGGATCTCTTGTCCTTTTAAGCCAAGATTTTGCCTTGTATATTTAAAAATATATTGTATCTTAAAACATAGTTTGTTCACTCCGTAAGTATTTCACAGGATTGAGAGAACTACCAGTAGGATCATGCTGGTTCCACTTTATCTACAAATGTATAACCGTAAGTCTCAGTGAAGACAATAAATCCCAATAATCAAAATTAATCAAGACCTCAATGGGAATTAGAAACGATGGGGTGAATTGACTGATGGAATACTATTATTTATAAGAGCCGAGGTGGCCCAGTGGTTAGAGTGCAGTACTGAAGACTACTTCTGCTGCCTGCCGGCTGCCTGCTATTTGGCAATTCGAATCTCTCCAGGTTGATTCTCAAGGTTGATTCAGCCTTTCATCTTTCCGAGGTCAGTAAAATGAGGACCCAAGATTGTTGGTGGGTAAACCGTTTAGAGCAGTGGTTCCCAAACTTTTTTTCACCCCACACCCCTAAAGAAATTTCACTTGAACCTCGCACCCCCTGGAATAAAATTTCACTCGAACCTCGCACCCCCTGGAATAAAAATGCCAACATATAGCCAATATCCTATTATTTACCTGGACTTTTCTCGCACCCCCTGGAATATCGTCTTGCACCCCCAGGGAACCCCTGGTTTAGAGAGAGCTGTAAAAGCACTGTGAAGTGGTATATAAGTCTTAATGCTATAGCTATTTATATGCTGTGTAATAGCCAATCACTTACAGATAACTGATAAAGCTGGTTTAATGTAGATTTCTTTTGCATATGTTCAGTATTATAAAAGTTACATGATAGGATCCTATGCATATTTTTCAAAAATAACTCTAACCATTTAGAAGGGGTTTACTCTCAAATAACCATATTTAAGGTCTCCTTCTTGTTTTGTTTTTCTATTAAGTAAGCTAATAATAGAAAGTGAAGTAATGATATATATGAAAAAGTCAGTTTTCAAAACAGGGTTTGTGAATGACTAGTAACGGACAAAAGGAAAGGGACAATTCACAAACAAAACTGAACCCAGAAACTGGAACAGTTAATACATTCAAAGGACAAAGATATGGTTATTTCATTATATATTACAATTTATAACAAAAACGGACAGTGGGATCTAAATACAATGAATGGATAGATAAAGGGATGAATACGTGCATTACAAAATCATCTGTAATAACTACATGTACTTCAAGATATATAAAATATATCAAGCAAATGACAATCACAAAGGAAAACATGGAATGGTATCTTCAAATGGCTGCCATAAGATTTGGGTATGTTTGTTAACCTGGGCAACTTTAAAACATATGGACTTCAACTCCCAGAATTCTCCAGCCAGCAATTCTGGGAATAGAAGTTCACATATCTTAAATCTGTCTTGGTTGAGGAACACTGAGATGCTGCATTGGAACCTCACCACGGAAAACACATGGCAATTCTAATATTGCCTTACAGGGAAGGTTGTGTCACCAGGTTTCTGAAACTTGGTGTATGACACAGTCTGTACAATTCTACACCGGTGATGCCCATTTATTTCTTGGTTGTTTAGGTTCTACCTCAGCTGTCAACTATGAATGTATTTGTTATACAGGTTTTTTTTAACTGCTGTTAACTGTCATCATTTTTAATTGATCAGTT